AGCCAATCTGTACATTCTTAATTCACTTTTTTAACATTAAATGTACTTTATTGTGTTTTCTGACATTTATTTTAGAAATAAATTAATAAGCTAATTAATAATAAGTAGAAATTATGGACTCAGAGTACCAGGGTCTGTTTCCATCATTTTCCTTATAAGCACTGGTACTTTGAGCAAGCTAAGATCTGAGAACCTCTGGTTCTCATCTACAGGGGAGTAATGTGGGGATAATGGCACTAAATCATTAAATACTTAGTGTAGTAGTTAACACCAAGTAAGTGGCAGCTGGCAATAATGATGGTGTCTCTGTTGTTACTGTTATTAGTAGTATTATTTCCTTAGATTCTCCCTTCTCTTTCTTGTTCTCTCTCTCTCTCTCTCTCTCTCCCCATCCCAACTCCCAGTTCTCTGCCTTCAAAAATACCTCCTCTAAGGAAGATATTCAAGACCAAGTTAAGTATGAATTTCTTTGTAGCCATACCCTAGAAATGTCATTTTAGAACAAATTCAATGATTGTGGGGGGTTGTGTTGTCAAGAAAGAAAGTTTTCAGAGGACTAAAGTCCCTTGAAGGACTTATAAGTGCTGTTAAATGTTCCCAGAAATAGACCCTGCCCCTCTGAACAGATCACAGTGAGTGCAGCTGCTGAAACCTTGTACCCTCACTACAAAACCACCCTAGGTTGAGGCGCAGGAAGTGGGTGAGGAAACGTATAGTCCTGTTGTCCCACTGTAATCAGCTGGACACCTGTTTTTACCGTGATTTTCTGATGTGTGGTACAATATTTTGGGCTCGTTTCTTAAAAAGTTGGATGCTCAGAAGTGCCAGTAACCATGTAAACTTCCCTTAGCTGAAATTCATATTGCTAAGCCCATACATGGACCAGCATGATGTTGGTTCATGAGACCCCCTGGGAGAGTTGGGAGAGGTGACTGACTGAATCCTGAGGGGTCATCTTAATTATTAAGAGCCTCCTTGGAGGAGTCCTCACTTGGGAAGTATTTGCTTTTAACCTTGGCCCATTTCAAAAGGACCAGTTATAGTTTCCCAGAACAATTCATCTCTAGTCCTTCAGTTTGTTTCTTCTAAGGACTCATCATCTGTCAAAACTAATAGTTGATATTGCTGAGTTGCCAATCTCTGCTTGCAGAGTGACCTTCAGATGTAACTCTTGGAGAATGCCCCTGTTGTGATTTCTACTCTTTCAGGGCATTCTTGATGATGACAGGAATGTGACTTCAGTCCAGGATGAATCTCTGACAAATATTAAGTCAACAATGTGTCTCCAAACCCAGAAACAATTCAGATACAGATGGGGACAAGGAGATTAATGGGGAATTGTAACCTTATTTTGACATGAATAGATGAATAGATGCATATATAAACATGAGCAGTTATCAGTGTATCAAATATATTGCCTGTGCACCTATACGTGTAAAACAAACACATATGCACATTTCCACAAGTGATGTAAATATGGCTCCTTTTGCTCAGATGTTTTCATGTTTAATTTCTTATTGTTTCTATTAATGAGTTATTAAACATCATAGTAAAGCCATATTTTAATTAGATACATTAATTTACATGAATAGATGTGGAAATAGAATATTGGTCAACATTTTTCCATAATTAATTTTTAAGCAAGCACTCAAAACTCAGTGGTTTATAACACTAAGCATGTATTTTCATGTTCCTATATTTTCATGGTGGTGATTTGGTTAATGCAGACAGGGCTCAGCTGGATGGCTCTGCTGCAGGCCACTGAGCTTATCTCCAGTCTAAACATTGTGTGATCTGGTGCCAAGGCTGAAGGGCAGTGAGTATTCAGGACACAACATTCTCATGATAAGTACAGGAGTGAACAAAATCCCCAAACCAAGCTTCACTAGCAAATATTTAATTATGCTGTTGAGAATTAATAATGATTTTCATCTTTTATAATCTGAAAATGCTGTGAAAGTTAAATTTTCATTAATTAGAAAGTAAAGATGGGTATGTTTTCTCAACAGGTGGTTTCACACGGAAATTTTCTTGAAGGCCTCATTGGTGGAGAAAAAATCTCTTTACCAGAAGTAAATGTCTCTTAAAATGTAGCTTAAAACCTCATACAGGGCTGTGCATGGTGATTCACGCCCATAATCCTAACACTCTGGGAGGCCAAGGATGGAAGATTGCTTGAGTTCAGGAGTTTGAGTTCAGCCTGAACATAAGGAGACCCTATCTCTACAAAAGTAGAAAAATTAGATGGGTGTTGTGGAGGGCACCTGTAGTCCCAGCTATGTGGAAGTCTCAGGCAGAAGGATCACTTGAGCCGAACAGTTTGAGGTTGCTGTGAGTTAGGCTGACAACAGGCACTCTCTCTCATGCAAAGAGTGAAACTCTGTATCAAAAAAAAAAGGTAAAAATAAAAAATAAATAAACCTCGTAATGAACAGCTATTACCATCTTAAAATGGGGACTGCTGTTCATTCCATCTAATGTGGTTCTGCAGCTTCCACCTGTGAAGTGACTCAGTGATGCTCATGATGCTGGTGAGTTCTGGACAAATTTTGAGTAGGGAGAAAAATAACATTTGACTTGTTTTATTAGCACTTTCGTCAAGAAATGTTTTTCAGGCAATTTCCTTATTTTTCTCTTGACTCTATGTTTTGGCGAAGTTTTCTTGCATGATCCAAACATGATGAAAATGTGTGAAAGTGAATTCAGATGTATTGGGGGCCGTTCAGTAAATGTTATAAGTTTATGAGTTGGGGAAACAGTGATCATATTTGACAATGTATTGTTAACTCACCATCATCACCACCATCACGTGTAGAACCTGCCCAAGAATTTCCCTTCACTCTCAGTTTTCCTGCAGAGGTTGCTCAGTGAGGGACCCTCCCATGATATTTGGAAATCAGAAGATGATTCAGCACTATAGACTGACTCCTACAAGCAGACACATGGACTGAGGGAAGGACTGGAGACTCAACTCATGTGGTGCTATTGGCACTCTCACCCCCTAGACAGGTCTAAGGACCCTGTGGTCAGGCACCTTCAGGAAAGATGCACTCTGGCTTCTGGATAAGCACAGGGAACCCCCGCCCCATTTCTTGCATTTGCATATGGAAATATAATACCCTCTGGCCTTTGAAAGATTATAGTTTGGTCACTAACTCCACATATTGAAAAAAGGCATTCCCGGCTCGGCGCCTGTAGCTCAACCGGCTAAGGCGCCAGCCATGTACACCTAAGGTGGCGGGTTCAAATCCAGCCTGGACCCGCGAAACAATGACGGCTGCAACCAAAAAATAGCCGGGCGTTGTGGCGGGTGCCTGTGGTCCCAGCTACTTGGGAGGTGGAGACAGGAGACTCGCTTGAACCCAGGAGTTGGAGGTTGCTGTGAGCTGTAATGCCACGGCACTCTACCCAGTCTACCCAGGGGGACAGCTTGAGGCTCTGTCTCAAAAAAAAAAAAAAAAGAAAGAAAGAAAAGAAAAAAGGCATTCCCACTTAGAACACCTAGAGCATATTCTCCTTTGTTATATGAACCCCAAGTCTGCTATAACCAGACTCCGTAGGTATACTGGCAGCCCGCCCTTTCTTAACTCAGGACAATCACTGCCATGTCAGTGCTGCTAGGGCTGAAGAGGTGGAGAGAGACTTAGGGAGCAGAGGAACCTCCTGGGCCCTTTTACTGAAACCTCCTAGTGACCTTTAGAGTGTGGCTGCCTCTGAGAAATACTCTCAGATGGAGCAGATGGAGGCACCAGGAGGAGCAGCTGGGGCAGCCCAGCCTCACACACCTGCTCCTTTGGGGAGGTTTATGTTATGACTTGTAACACTGTGGGAGGAAAACTGTTCCACTGATCACAGTAATAAGTTGCAAAATCTTCAGCCTGCAGGCCACTGATGGTGAGGGTGAAATCTGTCCCAGACCCACTGCCACTGAACCTTGATGGGACCCCAGATTACAAAGTGGATGCCCTATAGATCAGGAGCCTAGGAGATTTCCCTGGTTTCTGCTGATACCAGGTTACATAATTACTAACGCTCTGACTGGCCCGGCAAGTGATAGTGACTGTGTCTCCCAGAGCTGCAGACAGGGAGGATGGAGACTGGGTCATCTGGATGGCACAGCTGGCACCTAAGATTAGAAACACAAAATATAAATATACAAATAATAAATCAATTTTTAAGAGGCCTTTCTTGATGATCCAGGCATGACTGACCACACTGACTGAGTAAATCCCTGGTGTTCTCCCTCCTTACCTGGGAGCCAGAGCAGCAGGAGCCCCAGGAGCTGAGTTTGGGCCCTCATGTCCATACTAAGTTGTGACTGGGACTTATTCTTGACAGGGTATGACCAGCCTATTTATAAGTCTTCATGTCAGTGGCCTGACCTCTGGGAACATGCAAATCTGCACAGCTGCAAAGATGACTTATCTCAATAACTCAGCATAGACCAGTGACTCCATGTCCTGAGACTAATGAGGGTGGCACACATTTGTCTTCAGAGAATGTATTTCTCTCTGTATCCCACAGGACAGAATCAGTCTACTCTCCTGCAAATAGAGTGCCGTTTTTCTCTACTCATGAGAATGAATTCTTATCATACTTCATGACTTCATTTTCTCGCTAGCTATCCATCTAAGACAGGGCCTTTTGGAAAGACACATATCCCCAAACTATAAGAGATTATAGAAGTTCAGCATATTTGATACTTGCAAATACTATTGAGTAGAGAAGCTTCCTCTCTGCTCCGATTCCCTGGAGGCCCTGTTGTAGAAAATCATTTTACCTAGAAATATTAAAGGGCATAAGCGATAGATACATGATAGATGATAGAAGGATAGATCATAGATAGAAAAAATTGCATACAAATAAGAAAAAAAAGGAAAATGTAATCAGTAAAATAGTACCATGATTTGCAGGAAAGAGTCCAGCCACTAGGTCCAAGACTAACCTGTCATCTCCAGATGTGATTTTTGCCCTCCATTTCTGAATTTCTTTCCCACTTCTTCCACCTACGCCTGCCAACATTAGCAATTTTCTCCCTCCTCATCTGAAACGTCTCAGCTGCTTTCTAGCTTTGTGTGCCATCACACATTTCCAGGCTAGATGTTTGCTGAGCTCCTCGGATTACTATTCATATCTTCCATCCCTCCTAACCCAACCTATCACCTTCAAAAGTGAGGTGTTCTCTAGAGTAAGTGCTCATCTTCACCCTTGCTTTGCTTCATGAACCTGCATACTCCCACATCACCAATGTCTTCCAGTTCACAAGGCAAAGCAGCTCTTAATGGTGGCTGAGTTTAGGGCTTTGATCAAACAAGTTCAGGAAGAAACCAAGCAACAAGGTGAAGGGAAGCTGGGGTAGTGCGTGAGTGTTATATCCCTTACATAATACACAAAGAATCCTTGTGTGAGGTGGAGCAGAGAAGCCAACTGAAACTGCATTGGGGGTGACCCCACATGGGCACTCAGGGTACAGGGACACCCTCCTCCTCTTAGAGCAGGATGTCATAGTTGGGGCAAAATGAGCAGGTATTCACATGTGGGGAGGTACCTAGTGCTAGTGTCACCAACAAGAATTGGTGAGGAAAGCATCCACGCAAAGGGTCCAAGTTCACTGTGGCCAGGTAGGGCCATGAGAACTGACACAAGTGTATGGAGTATGTGGGGAAGGGATTTGCAATGGGAGTGTAGGAGGTAAGGACAGGAGGAGAAGTTCTTGCACAGAGGGGTTGATGGAGTAAGTAAGTATATTAAGGACCATCATAGTCAAGGTTTTCAATATTGTAGAAAAGATAAAAATATTAAAAAGGAAAATATTAAGATAAATTCTGTGAATGTGGATTATAATTAGAGATACTGAGTTAAGTCTTAGATTTTCCATAATTCCAGATTAAAATGTATATAAATTTGATGATCAACAGGCAGATGGATAGATAGATAGGTAGAAAAATACACAAACATTTTCCCTTATACAATAACAGACCAGGCTCAGAGAACCACTTTCATGCCCAAATCTTTGTTTTTCAAATACCAATCTCCATCCAAATGGACCAGCAATCCTTGGAGAAATGGATGATTTCAGGTCTAGAATAAGAAAAATATAAGATGAACCTGGATCATCTTGTGCCAGAAACTAAGGAAGTGCTCAAAGAGTGATAGGTAAGAGCAACAAGAATTGGGAGCCAGCTTGAATGGGGATCCCAATGGACAAAGGTGTGCAATTACAGAAATATAAAATGTGAAAATAAATTTTAAAAAGCTAGCATATTCATCTTAGCCCATTTGTACAGGACACGTGATACTAGGTAATTGATTTTTTTTTTTTTAATGAAAGGTATTTTCCAAATTCTTGAGGCTAAATTCCAATGTCATAGTGCAAGCACCCTTCAAGAGCTTTCTTGCTGTATCAGACCATAGTGGAAGGTGGGATGGTGAAGGAGGGTGATCAAGAACAAGTGGGCTTCAGTTACCCAGTAAGCTCCCTGAGCTCATCACTAGGACTACAACCTTGCCAAAGTCCATCTGTGCTACTGATGGCTCTGTCTTCCTCCCTCCTGCTGGGAGGAAAGGAGGGGGAAATGTTGTCTCCAAAATATGGGAAGATTGTAAAATTAAAATTAACAAATTTATTTTGGCTCAGCACCCACAGCACAGTGGTTACAGCACCAAGGCTGGTGGGTTCCAACCCAGCCCAGGTCAGCTAAGCAACAATGATAACTGCAACAGAAAAATGGCCAGGCATTGTGGTGGGTGCCTGTAGTTTCAGCTACTTAGGAGTCTGAGGCAGAAGAATAGTTTGAGCCCAGGAGTTTGAGGTTGCTGTGAGCTGTGACACCACAGCACTCTACCGAGGGTCACAAGGTAAAACTCTGTCTCAAAAAAAAAAAATTATTTCAATGTATACAAAATGTAAATTATATCATCTCCTTTAATGGTTACCTTTTGCTTTCATAAACATTTCATTACATTTGAAAAAAATAAAAAGAACAAGTGGGCTTAACTCACTTTTATACCAAACTCATTCGTACAATAATGACAACTCTTAAGATCTCACCCTGCAAAACTGTTGTACTGGGAATTAAGGTTTCAACATAAGAAACTTGTGGGACACATTCAAACCATATTGTTTTACCCTGGAATCCAAATGTATGCCCTTCTCCCATGTAAATACATTCATTCAATCCCAGCAGCCCCTGAAGTCTTAACTCAGCACAACAAAAGTCCAAAAAGTCTCATCTAAATCACGTAAGGGAGAGACTCAAGGCTCTCATTCATCCCAAAGCAAATTCATCTCCAGCTGTGAGTCTATGAAAACAACAAGTCATATCCTTCCAAAATACAGGCAGATCTCTGTCTCCATGAATTCCGCATCAGTGGAGTCAACCTACCACAGATATAAAATACAGTATTTGTGGAATGCAGGGGAAGCTGCTTATACGGAGGACTGAGTTTTTGTATCCACCGATTTTGCAGGGTTGGCTGTGGTACCTGAGCATCTGGTATTCAAGGAGGGTCCTGGAACCATTTTCTTATAGATACAGAGGGAGGATTTTATAATGATGAGGCAGACTTAGGGTTGACATTCCTCTTCCAAAAGGAAAAACAGGTACGGAGAAAAGCATAACTAGTCTTCAGTAAGTCCAAAACCCCACAGGAAACACATCATTAAGTATTAAGTATTACTAATCTCCTTTGACTCCATGTAATTCATCTTGGACAATTTTGAACAGGGATTGGTCCCGAAGGCCTCAGGCAGCCCACTCCAGGGACTTTAGTGGGCTCAGTCCACCCAGCAGCCTCATGGGTTGGAGTCTTCAGCCTGCTTCCTTCCCAGACTGGAGCTGCATGCTGGTAGCCCTATGGCTCTATGATCTCAGAGGCTGCCTCACTCCCACAGAACCACTATGCATTGGCTTAGTGGGGAGTCTCTGTGGTGCCTCTATCCCTGAGACAATTGTGTCTGTGCCCTCAGAATGTCAGAGATATTTGTTGAAATCTAGGTGGAGGGCTCCAGGGCCCCACAGCTCTTGTATTCTGCATACCTGCAGAGTTACCGTGATGTGGACACTGTCAATGTTTATACCTATTACCTCCCAGAGCAGTGGGTCAAGGTGTACCTGGCCCCAGTTGAGCTATGGCTGGGGCTGCCAATGGGTGCTGCATTGGAATTAGGGGAGTAGTGCCAAGATGACACAGAGCAGTAAGAGCTGAGACTCTGTAGCCACCTCTCTGGGAGCCTTTCCTTCAAGCTCTAGCTTGCCTTCAAAATCTCTGAAATTATTTTGGGTCCATTTTCCCATTTCCTTAATAAATAGAATCTCGTTTTCTTCTATCCATGTTAATCTCTTTAGCAAATATTGCTTGACCACACCTTTAATGTTTTCTCCTGAACATGATTTTTAATTCTTTATATTACAAGGCTGAGAGTTTTTCAGATGTTTCCATTTTGCTTTCATTTCAACTATAAAGTCCATCCTTAAGGTATATTTTCTCTCCTCTTACTGCAACTGGCCAAAGATTTCATGCAGCACCTTGGACATGTTGCTATATAGATTTTTTTGCTTTCAGATATCCTAGTTCATCATTTTTATATTCTGCCTGCCAAAAATCCCTGGGACATGAACTTAATTCTGCCAAATTCTTTACATCTTTGTAATAAGGATGGCCTGTACACCAGTTTCCAATACTTTGATCTTTGGTTCCGTCTGAAATCATTTCATAATGGTCTTTACCGTCAATATTTCATGAACGTTCTGATGATGACCATCTAAGTAATCTTTAAGAAGTTCCCCCCTTTCTGCCCTTTCCTCTCTTCTAACCTCTCAGCATAATTATCCTTAATGCTCTGTTCATATATAGCAGTCCAGATGTTGCTAACTTGTTTTTCTGAATTATTCCATTCTACCCATACATTACCCTATTCCAAAGTCATTTTC